AAAATCTGAATAGAATTTTGACTTTTTTTTTATAAGGGGGGCTGAATCACCAAACATGAGGTCCTTGCATTGCCTGCCAGCTATAGGGTCTGATTGCAAAAAGAGGTACTTGCATTGCTATCGCAGCTATGAAGACTAATCACAGCATGAGGTCCTCGCACTGTATAATACAATATCAGATATAATACGTTCATCTCTAACTCCCTTTAAGCAACTCAAGCGCCTAGTGATTGAACAATTTTTTTTAATTTGCTCTGGTATTACTATTAAAGCTTTTCTGTACCCCAAAATCGCATCATTCCTTTATTTTCACCCTGTTATCATCCCTTCTACAATAGTTAATTGTTCTTACTTCTGATCATCCCTTCATCATCTCACTTTATTTAATCGATCATCCCTTTCCTATTTCGTTTTCCTATATTATTACTATATATAGATACCTTTTATTCTAAATATAGTTATCCTCCTTCCTTATCTATTCCCTTATACCTATATTCTATTACTGTTTTGAACAACTCCATAATGTGAAGGTGAGTTAAATAATATCAAGTATTGATAACAATCGGGTGTTATCTTATTGTAGGCTGATGAAGAATTTGATCTTTCAGATGTAAAGTCTTTAATTAGATAAAGACGCGAGGGGAAAAGTTTAATTGGTGTTGTTAGTAATTAAGATTAGTCATAGCGGAAGGATGTTATATCGTTGAGCCTTCAGGAAAGTTCTGAATAGATATTTCTTCATGTATAAAAACTCGATATAATTGCCTTGCTGTATTTCTTTAGGTTCTATCTGAGTGATTTCTCCTTAGTAAATAAAGTCTTCTGTGTGATTTCTTGTTTGCATCGTATATCTTTTCTTATTTTCTTTATTTCTATCTCTGACACTATTGACTATACACATACTACTCTATATCTACTCTGCGCGCATACTCATACTACTCTTATATTCTCACTATTACATACTCTTATTATACTTGCTAAGTGCTCATATACACACATATATAATATATTTCCAGCTTATATCATTTATTGTTCTGATTTAGACCGGCACAAACCATTATTCCACGCTCTCCCAACTGATGGTAGCACTGGATTTACAACAGCACCTGTTTTTCCTAGTTATAGTAATTTTAAAGGTACATGTAGTTAATAAAGCTTATAAAATTTAGCTTTTAAGTGAATAATTTGGTTCAAAAATAGGTGCTCAATATTTACTGCAGCAGTTGTGAGTGCCAAAGTTAAGTGTTCTTGGTTAAAGGTGCTTGAGCTCTTTTTCTTACTAAGACTTATTATATTGTTTTTGGATACTAACACAAGATATTGCTTATTTTCTCTATCAAAAGATGCAGCTCAGTGTAAAAGGCGGGTTTGTGGTGACTAAGTCTTATAGCTAAAACACAACTAAAAACAGAGAAAGATTTGATCTAAGAACTAAGTATCCTACTACCACTAGAATCCTTGAGACTATCATTCGATAGTCTTTATTAATATGATTCTTATTTATATCTAACTACTATCTCAAAGTTACATGAAGATGAGACCTTTATATACATTCTGGGCTTTTCTATTACAATTAAGATCTAACAAGCGATATGGCTAATTAAAGTATCAGAAGGGGAATTCTATGACTAATGATGAGTAATTCATACTCATTTGCATGACTATGACTTTAGTTTCCACAACTTGGCATCTTACTATTATTCTTCAATGGAGAGCCAAACCCGAATTAGCATTTTTCACTTTTGTCGATCAATGTGCATTAAGATCCAGGATCTTATGGCTTGGGTCACATTTTTTTTTGCGGTCAGATCACATTGACCCTATTACTATTACATCGGCTTTAATAAAATATCCTGATCGTGAATTTGGTTCATGATATCATGTGCTCACGGATATTATTTATTAAGGTTTACGTAGCATTTTAACAGTAGGCTTAATCAAAAGTTAATCAATTTCGTTTTCACTATATAAGAGCACTGATCACTAATTCTTAACTCTTTCTTTTGATTTTTGCTTATACGAAAATATAAATAATACAAAATCACAGGAACAAGAAAAATATGACGAACAGTATACAACCAGCGAATTTATAATAAAGGGTCTGGAAGGGAACTACTACTATTATCTCTTCGTAGTTTAGAACTCGAATATGCATTATCTTTATTTCAGGTAAATACAGTAACAGCAGAGACCGTTAATGTTACACATATATTAAAACCAGTGAGGGATTATATCCATCACAATTGAATCCAACATAAATAATTTAATTTGTAATTGATCACAGGCGAGAGGGATTCACTTTGGATCGGGTACTGTCTCTGCTGTTGAATACAGTGGGTCTTTATTAGGATTCTGCAAGTGCTGGCACTTGCAGAACCTAGTCTTTATATATGTATTTTATTATGACTGAGATAACAATAAAGGGCCTTCGTATCTGCCTTGAATAAACATGATTAAAAAAAAAAAGACAAAAAAAAATAGGTGATTTTAATTATAGCAACATATTTAATTATTCTACTCTTCTCTAGATTGATAACTTTAGAATAAGCACTATATGTAGTGCTAACTCTTCTTTATCTTAACTTTCAACTATTTACACTGAATAATATATTCTTGTCTGACCGTGACTTTAAATCAGTCTAATACTAATCCTAATGCTATATAACGTTATATCTTAACCTAGAATGACTTATGTTATTTTTTAGAATGCTTTATGGATTTATTATTGGTCTTAACTGCCCCTTTTATATAAAAATTCCTCCCGCTTTCCTGACAAATTTCGCACAATGGATAAATTTGCTTGAAACGTTCCTTCAAAGATTGAGGTGGAGTTATTAAATTATCGCTATTTCCACAATGGTAACAAATTGGATAATTTCCTGCTTTGCGGCTTGAATAATAGAGTATTTCGATCGGTGAATCATAATTAATTTGCAAACGTATAAATATCACTTCTTTCAAATAATGATCGTCAGGGAAAATTGGTGCTCCACATGAGTATGAATATGATTCCAGTGCCTGCTAATAATCATTTTGTTCATCATCGGTTAAAGATTTGTTACTATATACGCAGCGACGTTTTCTACAATTTTCACAACTAATATAATCATGAATTTTTTCTGTAACAAGAATATATTTCGGAATAGACTCTGATTTTGCCTGCAACTGTATATACGTTGGCCTGTATTCTTCAGTAGTCTTAGTTTCGTAAACATGTTGAAAGCTTGCATAATGGTCCGTATTGTCTAGTTTTAAATTTTTATGATTACATAGTTAGAGATGGGCAACTGCGACATTATGCCATGCATGCATGCAATCATGCATGCCGTCCAAACTATTTTGAACAGCCCAAACAATGTGATAATTAGCATAACATATCGATTTAGTTTTAACCTGGTCTTATCATATGCTATTCATCGCCCAAAATAGTTTCGACAGCAACTAAATGCATGTACTTAAGTGCTTGCACTACATAAAATAACAATTGTGATAACCACTAATAGTGAAACTTGGATCTATTCATGCGTATCATGCATTTTACTCATCTTTAATTACAGTATATACATCAAAAAATTAGATAATCTACCTTTTGAAGGGATTGGATCTGGGAGAAAACTTAAATTACCAAATTCATGTTGTGGAAGGCGAATTGGCTTACAATATAAGCATGAAGTATCAAAGCATTTTTTTACCTTTAGAAAAAATATCAATTTTATTTAATCAGTATCATTAAAATTTAAAATAGG